TGGCAGTATCCTAGCCCTTGTGCTTCCTTCGGGTAGCATGGCAGCTAGGCACCGGAAGGGTGCTACAACTGAACGCTTGGAGGACGAAGGCGAAGTGTTATATCGAGTAGTTTCTGGTGTGCAAATGTAGGGAGACGGTTTTATAGTTTAAGGTGCAGGAAATGAGTAAGAATCATGAAGGATTTGATCGAGAATATTTGCATCCTCTCTAGAGAGCTCCCTAGCAGAGGCTTACCGTAAAAAACCACGGTGTTTAAAACGTATGTCTGTGGTGAACTCCCTCCCAGCTGATGGCATACCGTTAAGGAAGCCAATTTTGCTGGCTATTCGAAAAAACGCGTGTACACTTGCATCTCTTCAAGGAGAACTGCTGAGTCTTTCTCGGACAAGAAGATGGAGTAAAGTTGCTCCGACCACTAAGATCTCATGCGCTCACATAAGTTGATACTCAATCTTCTCAAGAGGGAACCAGTAGAAGAATTCAAGAAGGATCAATCACAACTGGCCTCCGTTAAAAGATAGTCCTTACAAAGGGGGGATTGTAATCGTTGCTCACCATGCACACTTTGGGAACTCCAATCCTTTTGGCAGAACAGTATTATATTCGTGCCATCCTTCAGACGTATCACTGGTGTAAAATACCGGGAGACAGGGTGCACAAATTTCTTGTCCAGATACTTAGTATGGTGTTTTGCGCTGCTGGGGCATTGAAAGTCGTCTTTGTTGGAAGGTGGGTCAATGGTTTCCGTTTTAAGCAATTCTAGAGCGAATCACGCCTACCCAAAGTGAAGTGGTTCTTATTATGGAAGTTAGTCCCTCCCGGGAGACTGTTGTATGGTTACGATTGATCGGTTGTGCCCATATGCCCACAGCTTCTAGTTGGTTCTTATTGCGTCATCTTACAGGACACTGTTCACTTGAATTTCTGCCCCACTTAACAGAGCACTATGTTCTTGTATGCACCCACATTTCCGTTCCATATTTGCGAGATCGTTGAGGAGTGTCATGGTGAATTCCAGGAGATTCCTGACGTTTGAAGATGCTTATTTTAGAATATGTAAAGTGGATACCAGCGACCCCACAAAGTAGGCTTATGTTATCAGGGGTTTGTGGGATAGTTCGATTATGCTTTTGTGCCCTTTTGGACAACCAGTATCAACCGATTCGTGCGAGGCGCTATTTTTAATAGAAGTAATGAAATTCTCCAGAGGATGTCTCCTCGGAAAGGTAGCATACTATGTCATGCCTTTCGGAGAGCGATGTTTTGGTCTTCTCCGTCGAAATGGCTTCTACTCTCCCTTGTCACCAGCATTTCTCTAAGGTGTTATTGATTCCAGTTTTATAGTTCATGTTTTACGTATAAGATGAAGGGCGATGATGTTGTACACTGCGCTAGAGTCTAATGCAATTGAGAAGTTTGCGAATTCAGTTATTCTTTCAGCAATGAAACAAACTTAGCTGGTCTTCGAGCTATGCTGCCTTCTGTTAGCTTTGACCTTTGGCTGCACTAATCAGAATTCTAGATTTCAGCATGCTGCCCGATCAACTGTGCGTCGGGGGGGGGGACTACTACGTGGTTCTCGCAAACGGCGTTAATTGTTCAGTATTATGCCATTGCTATGCAACAGATTACGAGGCTGCACTAGTTTTCGTGGTCCTCCAAACGGCGTTAATTGTTCAGTATTATGCCATTGCTATGCAACGGATTACGAGGCTGCACTAGTTTTCTATTCTAGTTCGTTTACTATTGTGAGTTTATAGGGAGAATATTCTATTATTTGTGTACTCTTTAGTCATGGTCATACTTTAAGATAGAACGTTACCCGATGTAATCAAGGTGAAGATACTCACTATCGCTTCTATGGTAAGTCCAAACTGTTGTAAACCTGCTGTTTTTGCTATTCAGTTTTGCCACAGAATCGCGCCGTTCTAACTAGCGTCTTGGAATCACGCGGACCCATAACGTACTATCCAATTTACACCAAAGGACAGAATCACAGTGCAACGAAAACACCATCGACGATTCAACTCGTGGCCCGACCAATGACAACCTACCGCATTCCTGCTCCACTAAATGCGCGTCCTGGGACCTTGACCACGCCTACAAAGGACCAGCAATTAGCTAGTCAACTCAACGGACTATTTCAAAGGTGCGTTTACTTCTCAGTCAATTACTATTTGATTTCCTTCAATTGGGATAGTTGAATACCACAGAGTTGACCCAAACATACTAAGAACTGTCGTTTCATCAAATTTTGGAACTCAACCGCGATTACACTACGGGATGAATGTCTCTTAGACAACAGTTACCGGCAAAATTGTATTTTCAGCATTGTAAGCAAATCAGTAAATCAATTAGCTTAGCGTAATGAGTGTATCCGTCTAGCGTCTGGTTTTAAAACAGATACCATGTTTCATTGTTTTTCCCCACAACCTACTCCAACTAGAATGCCGTGTACTTGGTCGATATGCATTTTGCGCGTTTCACTTGCGAAATCTTGAGTCAGGTCATTCAACTCCCTTTCTCCCCATACGCAGTTTAGATTCCAGGATTAGATGTTCCAGAATGTTGACAGGTGTCTACTTATCTCAATAGCTGCACAAGCTGTGATGGATAATGTCATTTCATGCGTTATCACGACACGAGTTTTATTCATGCTATTTCGGCGTCAAAATCGAATTGTGATAAAATCAAGGGATAGGGTATATAAGACAGCTCTGGTACGAAGTATGCAGAACTGACGCCCTCAACATCTCAAAACGCTTGATCAATAGTGTTTCGTTAGGATGATAGGGACCGCAGTTAAAACCATTCCAGTCTTCCCGGCTGTTATGGTTCGGATGTGTACAATTCATATTCAACCATCTTATAACAATCAAAACACCGTTTCTCAAGTGGACTTTGTTTGCGAAAGGTTCACAGGTACGAAAGGCCCGCCCTTATGGAAAATGCGAAGTGGAAGCGATTGGCCACTTGGGAATCTTCACCCTTGCTTACATGAATTTCGTAAAAAAAACATGGCAATTAATTGTTCTCAGTGGTCAGCTTGCTACCTAGTGAGTTTCGTGTTAGGCTTTTTTCATAGGGATTCCAGACTAATACCACCAAGTGCTTCTGCTTTAAGGAAAGACGTTTCGCTATAAACCCTCTGCCTCCGGTTTCTTTCGCTCTTCACTGAAGCATTATTACCCTGCAATCTTATACCACCTACGAGTCACTAGTAACTACAAGCGGGTCGCTCGCTGTTCATGGTGATGAGTTTTCGAATGGTTGAGTCTCTTCTACAAACCGGTGTCGTTCCATCTATATTTTGAGCGAATCCTGTGGACCGTTCAGTTGGTAGTCCGAAAAGTAGCCTAGGGGAATATACACTCATTTGCAAACTAATTTGATTTTTCGAGAAACTCATCTGGAACCCAGCTGAATCTCTCGGTTTTGATGAGTGTATATTCGCTAATTTCGTGCAATTTGGTTTCAAGTAGAACATAAGGTTGACGGAAACCCGGGGACTGCGCCTACCTGATGAGCCTCAAAAAGGGGCGAAACCGGTCCTGTGCTGTTGACGGATTTTCAGCAACCTTATGAGTAGTGCATTACAAAACAAATGGCTTGGGGAAACTTCGTTTCCTCGTACTTTGATTATTGAGAGCACAGTACTACCTGGCCACGTGGCTGGTCGTCAAACAGATCGGCCTAGCGCTAAGTGACGAGCGATTGACAACTCTCTTCCGTCAGTGTTTTGTTCAGCGTATGACTCACTTGACATGTAACTAAAGCTCCCGTTAGCGCGTTGCTTAGGATCAAACAGTTGATTTACTACCCAGACCGTCTTCGTTGTCTTCAGAACAGATCTCATAGGCTTTCAATTTGGACGTTTGTGGTGCAGAGGGTAAACTCATGACACGAAGAGTAAATGGTTTGAGTCCACCACTTTCTTGATCCGGATGTTCTCACAGGACTCAGGCTTTCTCACCATGCGAGTTGTATTTCTGTTTGACAACAATGTTACAGTTCAATGATGCCTTCTTATTCACAACTCCGGCTACCTAACTTCACCATTTTTCACTTCCAGTCTACCTCAGTTGCATACTCAACCTGTCAAGGCTGCGACTTGCTTATTTCCTGCTTCAGAAGTGAGTGATTCGCCTGAATACATTTTATCTGCTTTTTGTATTTACTTGCAGAGTTCATTGCATAAGTAAATCCTTCAGAAGAAAAAAACATTTCCTTGACGGCTATTGTTTACTACCAGCTTCATAGTTTACATGTACTCACTTCCACTCTTAGTCTCACCTTGTGTTACGCGTTCTTCTTGCTATATCTAAGATTTCCTGGAATTAACCTTTCATTTGAAACTTACCGATCTACACGCGACACTGCCGTTTGCAGTTAAGCTTATCCATTCGTTCCAACAAGCTCATTCATTGGCTTGGTCTCAATGAACACTACGTTTTCTGTATTGATGGATCGAGTGGAACATAGAACTGTTGGACGTGTCCCTTTGCAATTTAATTGGACACAACTGAAGTGGTGGAACACCACTCATATATCGGAAGTTATATTCGAGGTGGCTCAGTAGTTAAGACGCGAACTTACTGACTAGAAAGTCCGTAGTCCGAAGCCAACCTATGCATCTCGGCCGCCTTTGTCTAGGCTTGGGCTTGTATTCGAAGTAAGGCAAGTGTCGGAAACTAATGCAACACAGTAATATCAAAATCCAACATTGTGTCGGTCATTTTGCGCTATCTCTGACCCCCGAAAGGCTTGTCTTTTTGTTCTAGAGAATTTTGTGCATCAAACACTAATTCCTTAACCAACAACGCCTTAGACATCTGCGTATATTTGTCAGGTCAATGGCGGGCTTAATTTGGCATCTTATTCCTATCAGTCTGATGGTCTGGCATCAGAAAGACACTGGGTCACAAAGTATGTGTATTTTTCCGTAGCCAGGTGCACACAGAATACTTGTATCAAAGTAGAAATGTCGGTGGGATTAACATTCAGGTCACGGCAGTGACATTTCATCTGTCAACCTACATTAGGTCAGTGCGGCTTGACAGTACTCAAGCGTCAGTCATGAATCAGAATATTTATCGGGCGACTGTCCCAGACGAGCGCATGCTCGCTTCGTCAAGCGGTAACACGTAAATTGTGAAGCCAAAAATGGATGAAATAGCCGCGCCACTACACCAGTTTTCGAAATGGCGGTCCGAACAATTCGATAGGTTGTTTTGTTTATTCTGTCCACCTGGTTGTAACGAAGAATTTCGGGTAGAAGTGTGAGGAAACTATTATCCGTGAGCGATTTGATCAACCACAAACTTAGAAAAGGTATACTCGATTCTAAATGATTACGCACCTTCAGACAGTGAGCACATAAAATAGCGTGGCGTGGATACAGGAGTTCCTGTGACAGTTGACCGTTGATTTTGATGTTTTCACCTGGGATTTGGCCGGATAGGAGAATTATCGTCAAAACCTGCATATCGTTCAAAAAAGAGGTGGTTTGTGCGATATTTCACCGTTTCCAGCACTTGTCAACCGCAGTGTGACCAGTAATACGCCGGCGGGCGTGATGGCTCAGTGGTTAGATTAGTGGCCCGAAGGTTTGTGGTTCGATCCAGACCTCTGCCTCTCGACTTGCCCTGTCTAGGTTTGGATAACCTGGCAGAATCCCAGCCTGCGTGCTTTCTTCGGGTGGCATGACAGCTAGGCACCGAAAGGGTCTTAAAGTTGGATGATTATATTATTCATTTTAATACGACGCCGGACAACACGCCAGTTATCCACACGGGCACCTTATTCGTACCGGACATGGTGTAGGTATTCTAAAACGTCTTTTAGCCTTAACATTTTTTTCACAACTACTCATCGTTTGACTTAAAAAAAGAATATTGACAATAATTGTCTTGATAGGTGTCCTGTAAACTAAGGAATCTCGCATTTGGGTTGATGTGAGACTTCGTTTGGGATGAGTAGGTTGTGCTTTCAGCCACAGTGGATTGCTCAGCGTCGTCTTCGTTCGCACTGCAATTGGGGGTAATTCGGTTGTGCGATGGTGCTGCTTGGTGACTCTGTCAGACGTGTATTTGACTAGCATGGGAGTCCAGTTTAGTCTGCCACCTTTAACTCTATATACTGCATTTCTGATGCGTTATGCTACTACCAATACAATTATCTACTTTTTTGACCACGCGGGACATTCTTTTGATGGTTGTGGTTTCTTCTAAAATTACGTGAGTCTCTTTGACCCCGCGGACCTTCTTTTGATGGTTGTGGTTTCTTCTAAAATTACGTGAGTCTCTTAGGAACATTCCGCCTAAGGACTGCTGATTGGGTGCCGTGTATCTCTCCACATGAAACAGAAAGGTCTGCATGTTTTGTTCGATAGTCCCTCTGCTTCCCACGTCCACAAAACCCAGTTTAGTGCAGCAACAAAATGTACAGCTTGACCGTCAGATTACAGACTGTAGGCAGAGGTACACAAGGGTTGATTTACTTTGAGAAGCGAAAAAGTGAACAAACTAATGATCCTTAGGTTGAGCTCTGTTGTCCGTCGCCAAAGGCACTGAGCTGCAAACTACAGAGACAATTCGATAAGGATGAATATCGTTTCTGCGCTTGAAGCTGGACTTACGTAGACACCTCTGGCCACTTTGAGGAACTATCGACAACGATCAGGAAGGTATAGCCTTGCAATGGATCAGGGAAATCCAATACCCAACTGAAACAAAGCAAACCAGAATCTCATTGTGGGCTTGGCTGACGCTGCACACTACTAGTAGCTACGGACAAGCTCTTGAGCTCTTAGATAAATGGAGGGACAGTGAACATATCTTTGATCAATGACTTTCATTCTGGCAATGCATGGATGCCATCCGTGGAGTGGTTTCGATAATTCAAGCCGAACTTTAGTATGGCAAGACGATCACCCAATGTCATACAATCGTTCACCTTTTTGGAGCATCTTTCCACTGGGGTAATTGCTGACGTGACCACTTACCTCCATTGGCCATCCGTTTCGGAAATATCCATGAATTCCCTTCGGCGTAGTTTCTCCAGCAAATAGAGAGATGCTGAACGTATTCACGAGAATATACTTGTTGCATTTCGTCATCGATTGAACTCGATTCAATTGCTGCCTTTCTTGTTGATACTGTTGGACAAAAAGGTCACAAAAAGATGATTTCGGTTGTGCTGAAATCGTCACTCAGAAACATAATAGTCTAAAGTTGGAGACGACTGTCAGCATGTGCCTGGATGGCTTTTGGAGATCCGCAGATGGACTGTTATGGTTTGGTGGGAGGCACAAGTTGTTGTTCGTGCGCATTCTGTGGAATTTCTCCACTGGAACAATCAGAGCTAACTCTTTCTCTTCAATTTTGAGGTAGTTCTCCACTAGCGGTAGTAGTGAGGCACACGGCAAACAGCCTTTTGTAAACCGTTTGGTAATCCCCTCAACAGGTCCCACACTTGAGTTCTTGGCTGCCGCGATTGTAAACAGTTTTAGGGTTGTAGTGGGTTAACACTGAGTCAGACATGAGTACCTATTCAATATGAGAAAGTCTACTCGACACACATGTGACCATTTCCACTAAGACAAAGAAAAGAAGTGGATGGGTCTGAATTTCGCTAAGTTACTGCAGTTTGCAGGTGTGAGTTGGATGCGTTACATGCCACTCCATGAGTTTACTGTTAGGTAGTACCTACGATAGTATCTGAGAATTTACAATCATGGAATTTCTCTACATTGCAAACTGCATTACCGACTCCCAGAAGTGCTTTATGATATAACAACGAAGCCAGTGCTAGTTGCTGGGACCCCGTATCGAATCATCTTGTAGTACTTCACTCTGTTTCTCAGATTTGCTGGATTCAGTCCGCATTGCAGCTGTACTTTGTGCCAACAAATGTTACCTCGTACGTTAACTAGTTTAGTTTATTCCGCCAGTCCACGAGAGCTCATCGATGTGATGGGATAGTGTAGTAGCAGCGTTCATGACACCAGTTAAACATGACAGTAAACCGACACGTCAATGTTGTAAGGCAATTCTGTCGTGGTTTTCCCTTTGGATATTAGAACAGTGATTTTGAGAACCATGGGTTCCTGGTATGTTCGAAGGGGTTGCATTAAAGAATCATCCGTGCCAAATTACAGAATTTGGAATACTATGGTTGGTCATTCCACTTTGCGAGCGCTTTACCATTCACCCTAAGCCAACATCATACATGTTCCTTCTGCCTTGAATTTAGCCCCTGAAACCGACATCCCCCGACCCACCCACACGAATTCCACATCAGCTGATACCACAACTTGATGGAACTCTGGATGAGGATGATAAGAATTATTACTCCAGCAAGCGTTCACGTTCCGTGTTCCGCCAGTATTCTCATTCCAGAAGGCGTTCTGCGTCGGCAACTTCAAACGATTCATCTTCATCCAATAGGACATCTGCTTCAAGTGCGTCGAAAGCACCCCGACGGTCGCATTTTTCAGCGGTGGATCAACTGAAACAGCACAAACAATCACAGCAACCTCCTGCTTCTTTGAAGGCATTACCTGCTAAGCGGAAATGGATTGAGGAGCGTAACAGGCAACAAGAGCTGGCCCACTTGGTCTCAAAGGCTAAACTTGCGAACCACGCACGGATGTATCAGCATGAAGTGGAAAAACACGTAAGCGTCCAATGTGCATATCACGTGGAATCACTTTACCGTTGCTGTTTCCAGATACCACACAGTGTATACACCATCTGTGCGTGCAACTTGTTGTCCACCACAGACTGACACTCATTGATACATTTCTGATTCTAAAGTTCTTGCGAGCTGTTTGCTCCAGCACTGCTTTTTAACTACTTTGATGGGTTAGTCGGTGAGACACTTCCGTCTGCATGAGCTCGATATAGCTCGCTGGCTGAGGCGCGAAGCTAGTGACTGGAAGCTTCGTGGTTCGATTCCGACCCCGGTATCTCGACTGCTCCTGTCTAGGATTAGGAAATCTTTGCAGTGTCTCATTAGTCCTCCTTCCTTCGGGTTGCATGGCAGACATGCACGGAAAGGGTGTTTTGGTTGACCGCCCTTTTCTTTGTATCATTCCACAGTTTATGTCCCCTGTTCTGATTAGTTAGCCAATTAGCTCTTTGCATTCGACTCTGCCGACCATTCCTCTCTAGTGTCGCATGTTGACTGAACTCTGTCATTTTCACATTGTCCAGGCACGCGCATTTCGCCTGCGATTCTCTATTGACGGTTGCGTTCGCTCTGCACCAAATCCTGCCGTTGCTTGGCGTTCAATACTCACGCGAGTCGCAGTTTTGCGTGAAAAGCAAGGCCTCCCCCCTCTGCTTTATGGTGGTGAGTGATACATTTTCTCTTACGTTTATCCCGAGATGGCCCAAGTGGCTAGAACGCGAATTTACTGACCGGAAGGTCCGTGGTGGTTCGAACCCGACCTCTGCCTCTCGACTTCCCCTGTCTAGGCTTGGGCAACCTGGCAGTATCCCAGCCCTCGTGCTTCCTTCGGGTAGCATGGCAGCTAGGCACCGAAAGGGTGCTACAACTGAACGTCCTTATCCCGAACATGAAGCTCGCTCTTCTCTTACCTCTGGCACTGACCAAACATAAAGATATGTTCCAAGCATCTCCGTGCCGAAAGGTTCTTCAACCGAGACTCCTTTATCTAAACTTGCTCTCTATGTTTATGTACGTCACCGAATCTCAACTAATGCTTTGCCAGATAGAAACAATCACTGTTTTATTCTCTTTCAGTTACGGATGGTTGGACACAATTCGGTCTTAGTCATCGGCACATCATATTCTTGATTGAACAGATGCGTGGTGCGTTCCATTGTTACCGGTATCGCTTTCGCTATCATCGACGTAAAATTGAACGTTTACGACAAAAGGTGAGACAAACCCTTTCATTTCCTTACAACACGTCCTTATGCCTCATTGATTTTTCTATCTGTCCGTCCTAAGTTGCTACACAGCATCGTCAACATTAGGTCTAGTGGTTTTTGCCGTAGTTGCTTCTGTCACAGAGGAAATTAGATGTTACAGATGGGCTGACTGTCCTGGTGGTTCCCTCCCAATGTCTAAGCATGCACGAAGTTATCGCACTTGACGGGGAAGATGTTAGCAGGTCACAACTACCCAAAGAAAATAAACTCGGCATCTAAGCGTGGCACACAGGTTTGCTGAAGGCTTTTCGACGGTTCACAACTGGTTTCACTTTTCTTGGGGGGCTCTTCAGGATAGGCGTGGCTCCCGCAAACCTTATGTTCCACTTGGACCCAAATTGGATGGAATTCACCAAATACTAATTTGATTTTAACGAGGGACTCAACTGAATCCGGCTATGGTAATCTTCAACCCAGGATCTGGTAAAATTATTGGATGAAACTGGATTGCGCGTAGGAAAAGAGGGGAAATGAACTCAACAAGAAATACATAACCACTTTGTTCAACCGCTCGTCACAATAAGGTCTTGGTCATCCGATACACTAATTTGTCTCGATTAGGTGGGAGGTAGGAGCCCAACACTCGACCGATTCAGGTGGAGGGATTGGTCAAATGTCTACTGTGTAACAAGCTCGAGTGTAAGAAATTGGATGGTCATATCCCGGACGATTTTGAGGCTATGTAATTTTGTCGCTTTTGGCCGGTCCTTTCTGACTTGTTACATTAGCCTATACACTGTATCCGGATTAACCAAATGTCCTGTGCGGACTAAGCCGGCTGAAGCCGAACTCTGGACTTTGCGTAACTTTCTAAGCGGGCCATTCCGGAAAGTGCTCGCATTTCGTTTAGACAAATATTGGGCTGTACAGGCCACGTAGATGGCACCACATACTCATTCTAATTGCCAAACATTCTATTCGAAGAAGTCGTCACTGATGATTTGTGCTTAGTCTGCAGACGTGGGAGGGATGTACTCGAGAATAAGAGTGGAATGTGGACGTTGCATCTGCCGTAGCTAGCACACAGATTTTCTTGTTCTCATATCTACCTTACTGTGATTGGCTCACTTCTATTAGGTTTAGTCCTATGTGATCTGTTGAGAATACATGTTCGCCTAGCGTTTCCTTTTCCACTACCAGCGTATAAATCTTTCAGCCATCTGTCCGATATGGTAAAGTCTCAACCCATCACTTTCACTACCTCAAAGCAGTGACAATGTTTCTGGGTCACTTCAGTCCTACTATCATATCAGGTACAGTGATTTGCATTTCCTGAAATACTACTGTAGCGTGGGATCTCTGAGTTTTCGCCCACAGCTGTCAATTACTATCATTCTGGGTGTTCCCAACTGAATTTATCCGTGCTCCTTTTTTATCACCACAGTAACACGTAGGTGTGAATTCATGCGAAATCTGCAACATGTTTCGGTACTTTCACTTCAGTTGTTGACCTTGATAGAATTTTTGAGCCGAAGCAATAGACCCAAACGAAAAGGCCTGCACCTCGCGCATGATGGCTTCAGAAGGGGAAATGTAGGAAAAGATCCTTCTCGTATACTTTGTCGTTGCATGCAAGTTTGCCAGGAAAAATAGATAAGCCGCTTCACCTTACTAGAAAAATTTACTACAACATTCCACTACTACTTATACAATAGTCCTGTCTGAACAATTGACTACCTATCGTCACGCACACTGCAGAATCAATTGGTTTAACGAAAATAAAGGATCTGGACGAACATGGCAAAACATGTGCTCAATGCCTGCTACTGTGCACAAACAGAAGGTTTAAATGATATTTACCCAGGTCATTTCCTCCTTAGGTACTGATAGAATGCCATTTATTCAACGATACTAGTTACTCTTCATCAATGGACGAGACCCGAAGATTGATGGCTTGACAATTTGAGTTAAATCGGTTGCCGAGGAAGTCCCCATCCATACGTCTTGTAGTGTTCCCAAACATCCCTATCTGAATAGGTTAGGTCGTGGATGATGGGCCTATTCGGTTCACCGTCCTTTCAGCAACTGGCTAGTGCGCGTCAAATAGGTACGGATGCGAAGACACCAAGTGGACGTGAACAATCAGTGCAATGTATGAGCGCAGGCAATCGGGCCCATGTACGACTGTGATGTGGGAGATATCATGGTCACGGGGTGTCAATGTGGACACAGTGAGTCCGCTAAGCGGTGCGCCCCTATCGTTCTCAAAGCCGCGTTGTTATTAGATGCCTAGACACATGCAAACGTCTTTTGCGGAAGTACCCCAGATGGCCTTGGAACGAAAAACAGCATCTGAGTGATAGAAGTCAATCAATAGCTTTTTAAGCTCGAAGTAACTCAATGGGTAAGGCGCTAGCTTGCTGACGGAAAGGTCCTTCATCGAACTGAACTGATGATGATGATGAACCCCGGCATCTTGGCTGCTCCTGTCTAGACTTGAGCACTCTGGTAGCACTTCATCTCTCGTGCTTCCCTCGGGTGACGTAGCAGCTAGACACCGAAAGGGTGTTACAGTTATTGTTAAATTTCCTGACCATATGTAGTGTTGGTATGTTTTCTTATACTCATGAATCGTCATCAGAATACCGTGGCTCAGCGTCAACTTCAAGTAGTCTCGTGTAGACATTCTTCAACTCGAAGATCCCAGTCAGGAGCTGCTGTTGAACTAATCAGCTGGGGAAATGCTTTGTTTTCGTAGTTACTCACTCATTCACCTGTTTTGAGCTTTCAGGGCATGTTTTAAGTCAGCACACGACGTGGTTTGAAAATCTCATTTCTGTCAACAACCCTAACCGCTGTCTGTGTTTGAAAGGAGTGTAAGAATATTGTGTATAAACCCGGTGATGTGAGACAAGACCGCCCTTTCTTACCAACTGTTGTCAACTTTTTTTGTTAACCAGTTACTTGAAACTTCCTTACCTGAAACCTCGAGAATCGAAACGTTCCTTCATAGGTATTACCCATTCCTGATATGCTTGGTTTGGATCTTTCAGAGATGCGGGCCACTTTGGGTGGCCTGCTATACACGAGACAGCTACAAAGTCATCATCACCATCGACAGCATGATATCAGTGTTCAACACCGATGCTTCAGTGCCGTACAACCATGATTTATTTGAAAGCCCTATTGCAGAGAAAAGAGTAAAAGTGGACACATTTTTCAATGGAAGTACCCGTTGCGCAACCGAAAACGCGCTTTCTAACTGTCTCGCCGACACCAACCAGCTGCAAAGTACCGCTTGATGACTGGGTAGACTGAAACCTAAACCTCGTGACAGAATGAATTCATATCTGTGCATGATTCACCCTACGTGCTCGGTCACTGTTGCCTGTCACTTGGCATCCACGACCGGACTAATAAGCTTTCCCAGCGTTTATTCCCCAAGGATTGATTATTACCCACCAGCGTTGTTTGACTGACCACACCACGATTACAGCAGTGACCGCGGTCTTCACACGATTCGGACAGATGTTAGGTTTCCTTTGTCCAACTCTTATACTATCGTTTTACTACGAGTCACTTCTGCCCAGCTGGATCCAAAAGCTTAAAAGTTTCATTCGAATTTCAACCGAGTTACTATGACGTTGAACATATGTGAAAGTCAAAATATCGACGTGATTCTTACTGTTTATGAAGGCAACAATCAAAGTCTGTCCCGTATTTTTTCATGTGTACGTCCGAAATCTTCACAGCACTCCACAATGTTTTGTGTATAACTGAACTCCTCCGTATTCGTCCCGTCTCACCATCATCGAATATTGTGTGGTTTTTACGTTATCCTCGTTGATATCTATCAACCGAACAAATTAGGACATTTTTGGAATTACTCTCTATGCTGTGACATTCAATTCATTGCTGTTTTACTTCACCACCCTACAGTTCACTCCTCCAGTCCCCGTGCCGGAAGGCTGTGCTAGGGCAATTAGCTGGTCAAAACCACGGTTACCATCAAATCACGCGCGCGATCCTCTCAGTTTTCTCAGCTGTGCCGGAAATCCACCTCCCCGACCGCTTGTCAAATCTGACCAATCCGAATCCAGTAGAAAAGACGGCCTCGGTCTTTCAAACACCGTATTCAGTCCAAACGAGAGGACCACTGTTCTGTCACCAACGGAACAAGCAGTCTGTGCAGAAGCAGCACGACAAGCGGCGTCGCTTGTGGCCTCCCAGTTGAAGTTACCTATACGGATGCGAGAGGCATGTATCGCACAGGCCGTAGTTCAAGCCACCGGGTTCCTCCTCCAACCGAACACGTCAGACGACCCGGCGAGCTGTCACGCAACCAAAACCAGGTCGAAAACAACGACCGAAGCCGAAGACGAGGATTATGACCAAGAACAGAATGACGAATCCTCAGAAGATGATAAGGGTCAAGAAGATGAAGCAGACTTGGGAACGGTAAGGCACTGAAATGTTTCGGGGAAGCTACAACTCGCTTAAGGTCCCTCAATGCAGTTGAGAAGCTGTTGGATAGCTGTATCCACCAACAATTCAGTTAGCACGCTCATTATTATCTTGTGGACTGATGTGTTTGCTTCTACTTCCTGGCATGATCGTCATCCTCGTCACCACAGGCAACAACATAAGTTGTTGAGGTTGATGATTCATTACCGTACTCATGCTGTGGGCCATCATTTCAAATGGTTTAATCTAATTCCTTATCTCCTATCTCTTAGGTGACAACCCAATTCAAACGCATGGTGTCTGGCTCCATGGCCAGGTACTTACGCGTTGCCGTACACCCATCACATATCCACGGACGTGGATTGTTTGCGCTACGCGGATTCCGAGAAGACGAAATGGTCATTGAATACATGGGCGAACTGATAAGAAATTTCGTGTGCGAAACCAGGGAAATTCGATACCGCTCTGCTGGAGTCGATTGCTATATGTTCCGGATCGACTCAGATCTAGTCATCGATGCTACCTACGCGGGGAACGCTGCCCGCTTTATCAACCACTCATGTGATGTGAGTTTTTTTTATTATCGGTAATTTGATCTCTTGTAGTGTGTTATCTCTCGCCCTTTACCAATTCCACGAATTCAAATCGATGCACACCTCACTGTTGTTCGACTTCAACAGATGTTGGTCCATTTAGTGGCAAGTACATTCCGTCGGCTTCTATTTTAAGGGCACCTCACTACATATTGCAAATAAAGAGCACCTTGAAATTCACAAAGTTCCCTAGATAATATACGATAATATACAGCTACCTCCTGTGGAAACAATGAATGGTGGACTATTTTACCTTGATCAAAACACTCACGTGATGCGAATGGAGTCCAAGAGAGCTAATCGGGTTATAGAGAGTCAGTCGCCTAGCTGATCACCATCTTCATCACAGACGTCATTCGGTGGTCGTCCGTCACTGCTGAGCATACACAAAAGCGTATCAGTTGTTAATAGCGAGTGTTCCTGACTCTTGATGCTAATTCTGCTACACTCGAACGAGCCGAAGCAGCGTTCTGAGTATATAGGATTGTGATAGATTGTTGCCGAAATTAAGAGACCTTCCAAACAAGAACGCGATCACTTCTGACCGATTCTTTCAAATGATCTTCCAAGAGTCCAGAAGTGTTATCCCCTTTTACCTTCTATTTGAATAGCGCGCAAGGACAATCTGTAGAACAGTTGGAAAAACAGAGGCATTGGACAGTTACACTCATCCCATCTGTTGGATTCGCCTATGACGCCCACTAAGAGGGGGGTAGGGTCTCCGCCTAACACCGACGGTTCAGGTCACCTGTCTACGAACGACTGCTTGGAGTCAGAGCTGCAAGACGTGTATCGCATGGGGACTAACTGGTGAGGTGGTGTCTCATGTGAAGCATGCTATTTCCCCCAAGGCACAATGCCTACTGTCGCTCGCCAGCTGTTCACTGCCTATTCTCAAATATCATACCACCCAAAGCTCATAAAATCCCTTTCCCCTACACCACTATCGTAGCATTAGCTCATCACCGCAGTTAAGCGATACAGAATGAGGGACAAGAGGTGTGTAAGCGAGAGATGTCCACGTGAAGCGAACCGGAAGAACTAGACCATAAACTGGAAGCGAGGGTTATCCACGTGAGGCGAACCGGAAGAACTAGACCATAAACTGGACCCAAACCGATAAAGGTTTCCAATGGACCTTAACATTTGCTAACCCACTCCAACAAATGAAACCCCTTAGCCGACACCTATCACCTGTTTAGCCGGGCATGGCTGATCGTTTCTCCCTCCGCCGTAAATCTCGACCAATCTCGTAACCTAATCATTTGGCCTGACGAAGTTTTTGTGTCGAAAGCGGAACGTCTCCCAGCAATAAATGTTTCCCGAACATTCCCGAATACCCTCACAGTTTCTTCCGCTAAGTTTGCATACATCTTTTTTATCCTTTGCAGCCGAATTGCTATGCCAAGGTGGTAACGGTGGACGATAAAAAGCACATTGTAATCCTGGCCCAACGCAGGTTTGTTCGATATTGTATTTCGAGTAACTCTGGTTTTCTCTTCACACAACAATCATCTAAGCTATTTTCCTCTTGGTCTGGTACGCTTATGCACATTTATCCACGACAAAGGGGAAAGCACCGGACCCGAGTTTCTGTTTGAACACATCTCATAAGGTCATAAATTCTCCATAAGTAATAAGAAATCGCCTGGTAGGCTCGAGTCATTCGTGCTCAGTCTCTATGACTTAGCTGCCTCCCGCGTATACTGCTGGATTGGTTCTAGTGCTTGCCTAGCATGTCAGATGATCTGGATTCAAATCTCGGTGCATCCAAAAATCATGATCGTTCAGCTGAACACCCTTTCCGTTCATAGCTGCCACGCCACCAGGGGTAAACGCGAGAGCTGAGCTGCTCTTTTGTTTCCAAAGCCCACAGAAAAGCAATGGAGATGCCGTGGTTATTTCGCGCCCTAACCTCGTCAACTGTCTGCACTGTGGCTACTGATCGAAGCCGCAGGTGAGCCTGAGTCCCTGCGTCTGTTTCCATGTGCGCTAACCGGAATACGCGCTCTAGGGTAGAATTGGAAGTATTCAGTCGATAGTGATGGACAGATGGACCAAGTGGTTAGAGCGCGAATTTACTGGCCGGAAAGTCCGTGGTTCGAACCCGACCTCTGCCACTCGACTTCCCCTGTCTAGGCTTGGGCAACCTGGCAGTATCCCAGCCCTCATGCAACCTTCGTCTGCCATGGCAGCTAGGCACCAAAAGGGTGGTACAGCTGAATGATTTTTTTTACAAACATCAACTCAACAAACAACACAAATACTTATGTTGACTTTTTGGAAAAGCCTTTTTAGCATAATATCCCCGTCAGTCATATTCGCAAGTTTCAAGCAACGAAAACTACCCGACAGCCATTAGAATAACCAGACAGCAATCAGTCTTTTATTGTGATTGTTCATCAGGTACCCATGAAATACAGCAGTTGCAAACCCGAAACAAATTTTGTGAGGAGAGATAAGGTTTACGCTTGGGATGGTGTGTCCTATTCACACAGTCGCTGCAAGCGGCAAACAGGGTTCATGCGGGCCCGCGCCGTCGTAAACTTCCAGAGCTGTCAATGGTGACGTGCATCTCGCTCGATCCCAACTGTTGCTGTGGAGCTTTTACTGAAATTTTCCAACAACTTAAGCGGCGTTTCGGTGCTCAGTCGGTAAAGAAATCGCTTATTGTCTGGTGGCGATGCAAGGCGTATCCACCGATAATCATTGCACATTATATCTGTTCATCTTAACAATGGTTGTAATTAGGCCAGCTTCAAATGACGGATGTTTTTCGATCGTTGTCCTGTTCTCAGTACTCTGTCCGTCTGTCAACTTAGCTATTGCCGTTTTTAGTCCTTCATTGTGTTTCTCTATTGGATAATCACACTTTCTGGGGTAAACATAGAAACCTCGGTTTGAGCTGCCTAAATTCGTGCAGGTCAACCTCATGCAACAGCATAGTAACGGGTTTAATATTGGCACAAAACGGAGTCATGAATTGGGAACTAATATGAGGCGGACGCGTAATCAGCCATCTTGTGATACAGAATGACGATCGCCTGCTTCGACCTGTTCTTACATGTTTTCGCGCCTTCCTTGAAGGACACTTCGTTCCATGTTATCATTCACCTTTTTTTTCTATCTGACTAGAATCTATCCTGGCGAAGAACTTACATACGACTACCGGTTCCCAAAGGAGTCAGACAAGCTACTTTGCAACTGTGGTAGCTACAACTGTCGAAAATATTTGAATTAAGCACAATTTTTCTTCGTGGACTCTATCTTTTGGGTATTTCCTGAAGAGGCGGTGTGTTTTTATTGCACCTGATTTTACTGCATTCTCCCCGAGTCATTTTTCTCTATGTGAACGTCATCATCGTAACCTATAGTATTTCCGTTTTGATGTTCAGCTTGCTGAAGCAGCAATTTTGGTCAATCATTTGTACCGAGCTGTACCGTTTTAACCAATCCCCCCCTCCTCCGAAGATTCATGATCTGTATATTGGCTCCTGCATTTTTGTACTTATACAACACTCATTATGCCACAGTGTTTCCAGTTGATTCCGAATCATTGTGCACGGGCTATTCCGCGAACAGTACGGGAGAAATTTTCCACCGGCGATCTTAGCTCAGCCATAAGATACACTTCCCAGTTTTTAAATATAAAAGTGGCCAAGTAACTGCAGGTGGTTGGGTTAGAGCACTTAACTTCTACTATATCATGTGCCGACTCCTGTCCGTTTGAGTACTTTTGTTACGGAGGTCGAATGAGGACATGAATCTGAACAAGAACTATCGAATTCAAAATCGAAAATGCAAACAGAAAGACCCTTTCCTTATAATTGACATATTGGCATGAATGGATGGACCGCTAAATCAAGTTTATTGCGACTAGTCAGGTCGATAATCGGTGGATTTCTCATCAATGGTGCTATCTCTGTCGCAACGTGTCCGTTCTGATTGGCCCAATGGAAATCATATTGAGGGGTAAATTTACTTCCCAAACTGTCCCTTGCAGCACAAAACCGTGTTATTACGCATATTGAAGGCATAACCTCCAAAACAACATGCGTACATTTGTCGAGATAACTTGGCGGTAAAGAGAGACTCGGTTGACCTTTAAGTGGAACCCTTGTTTATAACACATCAACTAAATGGGCTGCACAACGATCATACCATTTCTCAGTTGGAACGATATTCACCATTATCATCAGAAACAGCAATGCTTCAATGTCGTACAACCACAAAGTCAATCTAATTATATTGAGTATTGAAGCGAAAAGGAAGGGACCTGTTGCTAGTCTGTCGCACGTTTTTTGAGGTGCATACACCCGTAAACGCTCAGTCAGGCAATATGGAAAGAAAATAACCGCGAAAGCCACCGACGTCGGCTAGACACCATTTCTTACAATCATAGAAAACTCTGTCGTAGAAGATAGACCACACCAGCTGCACAGTAGACGATCATTCGTTATGTGTGGGACGTTCTCTACGACCAATGTGTGTTGCGCAACCGATCGAGAATTGGCGAACGTCATCCGATGGCCAAGAATCAGAAGGATATTCAGATCAGTTGTTCTCAAGAGCTATTTTTCACAACTATACAACAACGGTTTTCCTAACATCTAGTTGGGTGTTCATTAGCTGAGCTCGGTAATAGGCCTGCATGGTGTCAACCTCCATGGACAGCCAACAAACCAATTTTCAGACGTATTGCCAACAAGTAGCGTCACGTCAAGGGAAATAGTTCGATAGTTTGAATGCTCCTCTAGCTTGAGCGTGTTGTGTCATTTGCTTAGCAAATGCAATTGAATTATTCAATAAGCGAGCTCTAGAGTTAGGGTTACTCGAGTCTCCCTTTAACACCAGCTCAAATTACGTACAGTTTAGTTTTTTAAATGGACCAGTACACACTAAATATCATATCTTCATCCTATCTGCTTGATGGAAAGGAGAGTTTCAGGTGATCTTCTATTTAACACCAGCGTTTTCCTGGAATTACATTCAAGGCGGCTTCCAGGTACGAAAGAAATTCGGGGAATTACGTCACTCATTTGGGTCTCCCATGGTACATTAACTATTGCTCGGTGTCGTGCTAACAAGGCCAAGCTGTTACACTGTCCGTATGACCAAAACACAATGCTAATCGCGATAATCTCGTCAGCCGTGTTTGTTTTCCGTAACTCTAGAAAATTCTTTTCAGAAGATATTGCTATTGTGATCTACTGTGTTCCATTAATAGCCTTCGTGACTGACAGCAACACTGGACGAGAACACTGGTGCCTCAGTTAACCACAATAAGCTACAGTGAATCACAACCATGCTAATTTACTTGAACAAAATCCCATAACGGCAGGAAAAGTGGGATCGGAAAGTAGATCTATGCCTAGCCTATCACAAACATCCAAGGGGCTTAAACTTCCGGCACAGTCAAATAAGATGGCTAGAAGCTTATAGCATGAGTGCCACTTGCATCGGCTGGCTGCCTTATCGTCCGGTCTTTCCAGTCAAGCACAAGGAGGGCACATGAACATCCGTTCTGGAAGGTGAACAACACACAAATGTTTCCCTATGTCCTTCATTCTACCCGTCCACACCATTTACCCGTTGTTTTACGCTGTTCTGGGTCGACTGTAACTCGGAATTCATAACGCATAGCTCACCCATCTTTGCTTGCTTTGTTGAATGGACTGTTTACGTGAAGCGCCTTTTGCCTGAACAAAGACGCATT